CTCAAAAGGAGACATAGAAGTGGCCAACAGATACATGAAAAAATGCTCAACATCACTAATCAGGGAAATGCAAATCAAAACTACAGTGAAATATCACTACACACCTGTAAGAATGGCTATTACCAAAAAGACAAAAGGTAACAAGCGTCAATGACGATGGGGAGAAAAAGGAACACTGGTACACTGTTGGTGGGAATGGAGATTAGTACAGCCATTATGGAAAACAGTACGGAGGTTCCTCAAAAAACAAAACGTAGAACAACTATATGATCTAGCAATCCCACTATTGGGTAGACATCCAAAAGAAATGACATCAGTATGTTGAAGAGGTATCTTCCCTCCCATGTGCACTGGAGCATTATTTACAATGGTCAAGACATTTAATCAACCTAAGTGTCCATCGATGATGAAAAGGTACAGAAAATGTAGTACACAGACATAATGGATTACCATTCAGCCTTAACAAAGTAGCAAACTCTGTGATTTCTGACAGCATAGATGAACCTGGAGATACTATGCTAAGTGAAATAAGCCAGGCACAGAAAGATAAACACTTTATGATCTCACATATGTGGAATTTTAAAAGTTAATCTCATAGAGGCAGAGAGTAGAATGGTGATTACCAGTGCTGCAGTTGGATGGTGGGTTTGAGAGATGTTAGTAAAAGGATACAAAATTTCAGTGAGACAGGGGGAAATAAATTCAAGAGATGTATTGTGCAACATGCTCACTAGAGTTATTAAAACCATGTTGAACAGTTCTTCCTTGTATTCACAGGGAATATATTCCGTGAAACAAACTGCACATACTCTACTCCCTGATACAAATCGGGATAGTATTGCATATAACCCAGGCATATATGCTTTAACTCATCTCTAGGTTACTTGTAATACCTAATAAACATGCTATGTACGTAAGTGCTGTATACTGCATTGCTTTTTATCTACTTTTACTGATGTATTATCATTTTCATTATTTTTTCTACATGTTTTTGATCTGTGTTGGTTGCAACCATGAATGCAGAACCTGCAGATGAGGAGGGCGAAGAGGGCTTATCCCAGGGCTCTGTATCCGTACAGCTGAAAATTGCTGAGTAGATTTTTAATTGTTCTTACCACAAATACATGATAAGTATGTGAATTAGCTTGATTTAGCCATTCCACAATGTGTACATATTTCAAAACATCATGGTGTACCCCATAAATATATACAATGTTTATCTGTCAATTAAAAATAAACTGATTTTTAAAAATAAAAGTGCACCTGCTGGACACTTCTCCTCGAGGCTGCGCCTCTGTTGCTGTGAGGCCACTGGCGGCGGGGGAACTTCGTCCTGCCGGGAGATGGTGGCAGAGTCAACTTGGACCTGTGGGGACAAGGCAGAGATGGGCGTGAGTGGCTTCCAGACCTCACCTCTCCCAGGCTCCGTCTCACGCTCCCTTCACCCCAAGTGACAAAACCCATCAGAGCTTGGACTTCTTTCCAACTCCAAACTTTCATCTTTTGCATCCATGTTTGTCCCTTGGCCTGTTAGGGCAGCTATTTTCTATAAAGAAAAACACCTCTGTATCCTTTTCTCATATTATAACATAAAATAGCTTTACCCCAGAAAATGTGAGCAGAAGAGTTATTTTTATTTTTTATTTTTTTGATAGAGTCTTGCTATGTGGCCCAGACTAGAATGCAGTGGCTAGTCACAGGTGTGATC